TGGCGAGGATGCGGAGAAAAAGGAAGCTTCGTGCACTGCTGGTGGGAATGTAGACTGGTGCAACCACTGTGGAGAACAGATGGAGTTTCCTTAAAAAATTGAAAATGGAACTCCCATTTGACCCAGTAATCCCACTCCCAGGAATATATCCTAAGAAACTAGAAAAACCAATCAGAGAAGATATATGCACCCCTATGTTCATAGTAGCACAATTTACAATAGCTAAGATTTGGAAACAGCCTAGGTGCCCATCAGCAGATGAGTGGATCAGAAAACTATGGTACATCTAGATACACAATGGAATACTATGCTGCCATAAAAAAGAAGGAATTCTTATCATTTGCAGCAACCTGGATAGAAATGGAAAACATTATGCTGAGTGAAATAAGCCAGTCAATGGAAGAAAAATACCACATGATCTCACTCATTTATGGATAATACAATATAATAAACAACATTATAAACTGATGAACAAAAAGATAGATACAGAGACAGTAAAGCAACAAGCAGACTGTCAAATTATAGCGGGAAGGTTAAGGCAATATGGGGGAGATAAGAGATCAACCGAAGGGACTTGTATGCATGCGTATAAGCATAACCAATGGATGCAAAACTCTGGGGGGTGAGGGCATGTATGGAAGTGGAGGGGCAATGGTAAGATATGTACACATATAATACCTTAATAAAAAAAAGAAAGAAAAATCAATAAAATATATTTTTACCCCCTCCTCCCCAAAAAAGTTACAAGACATCTTTCTAACTGGCAGTCCAAGTTGAAAGTTATAATGCATAAATCCACGTGGGCATAAAAACCTTTAATTTTTTCCCCTTTTGATGAGTTCTCTCCAACTAGTAAAAATAGAGAGAATAAGGTTAGTAATAGAGAATTTTCCAGAACCACCCAACCTTCCTCTCGTCACTAAAAGCTGGGTCCTTGTGCAGTTTAGTTTTTGAGATCAATATTCTTGATCACGTGAAAGTAGTTCAGGAGATTAATTTATGCTGCAAGTTAAGGCAGGCTTTTGGAGAGTGGGCATCACACCATTGTCTCTGCTGTTTCTGAACATCCTATTCCAAAAACAGGCCATGTGCCCTCGCTCTTTAGAGCAGGCTTGTTAACCTGAGGCAAACCATTCACTAAGTTCATTAACTTGAGTGGAATCTTTATTTTTAATTAAGCCCTTACTAAAAATGGTATTTCTCTTGTTTAAAGAGAAACCACAGCAGTATTAGAAGTACCTGTCACTTTGCCATGAATAGGAATCAGGGGTATTTTCACATTACATCTTGGTTGTTGCAAAAACATGGAAGTGTTATTTACACTCATCATTCTTTGAAATTATGCTAGTTATTAGAGCTGCTGCTCAAGTTGTTATTTCAAGTGTTAATACAGAATGTATCACCACATCACAAGTTTGAAAATACATTTTAATTGGTTTTATTATACTTAATATTTTGATTGACTTACAGAGGTTTCCTATGCAAGTCTATTATTTTATTTCATGAGTTTTTTTTTTTTAAATCCTTACCTGAGGATATTTTTTCCATTGATTTTCAGAGAATGGAAGAGAGAGGAAAAGAGAGAGAAATATCGATGTGAGACACATCAATTGGTTGCCTCTGCACGCACCCCAACCAGGGCCCAAGCTGGGGAGGAGCCTGCAAGCGAAGCATGTGACCTTGACTGGAATCAAAACCGGGACCTTTCGGTCCACAGGCCGATGCTCTATCCACTGAGCCAAACTGGCTAGGGCTTATTTCATGAGTTTTAAAACATCCTGAGTGAGGTCCCTAAGCTTCATCAGACTGCCAAGAGGTCTGAGGCATGAAAGAGATTAAGAACTCCTGCCCTGCAGCAACTCTCTGCCCCGGCTTGGCCAGATGCATCTTTATTTTCCCAATTTTTAAAATATTTCAGAAGAATGATTGAGATTTATTACTCAAAATTTGTATTTACTGCTGCCTTATTGTCTCTTAATACTAAGCATGTAAGAACCCCTCTAAGTCCCAGTTTTATTTCTACCCCAAAGGGTCTCAGACTAGCTTGAGTTAGGAGCACCTGCCAGAAGAAACTGTCTATTTGTTTGAATCATTACTGGAACATCGATTCTATTTCTGGAGGGCTGTTCACCGTCAGGGCCCTAAAATACGTGGCTTTGCGTTTTGACGGGCAGACACAGGTGTGACACTCCGCCCTCCCCCACACACATACCTCCATCCCAGGCCAGTGACCTCCTGCGAGCCAGTTCAGCTTCATGACTGGAAGCAGGACGCTGAGCATATTCCCATTTCTTGGTCTGGCTGGAGGGTTGAGGAAGGGAAACCCATTCATGTGGTCAGGTCCGGGCACCCTCCCAGGGAGACCGTGCACCCCTGGTTTACCCTGTAACCCTCGGAGACCAGTCACCCTTGGGTCAAGCTCAAGACCTAGCCTCACTGTGGACCTGGCCACCCCATTCTCTCCCCTTACCCCCCGAAGCAGGGTGTATCAATGGCAGTGGCTTACCTCTCCATGGCTCTGAGCTCTTCATCTGGAGACTTCCGGATGAAGTCAAAGTCATCCTCTGTGGCTCAGGTAGGGGATACCTAATCCCATCTCTTATTCGAAGAAGGAGCTGGGAGATCTGACAGCAAAGTGTTGGATGGTGTGGTTCTGGGCTAGACAGAGACCGACTGTTCCTGGGAGGTCCTTGCTGGAGACAGCAAGATGCCTATCGCTTCTATTGAATTCCACATTCTCCATAGCCCTTCTCAGGTGGAGCCTCCAACAGGGTTCGTGCTGCTCTCCAAGCCTCAGCCAGAGATCCCCCATCTTTCCTGGTCTTTCCTCCATCACCATTCTCTTCCTCTTCAGCCCTGGCCCAGCTTTGTCCCTCCTCCAGACTAGCTGCCGACTCCCTGGACCCCTGGCCTCATTTTTCTCCCTTCCCATCTATCCTCCCACCCCTAACCCTGGCCCCAGAATGATCTGTCTAACACACAAACCTGACCCCATTTCAGCTCCCATTTCAAACTAGCTCTGCTCACTAAAGCCCTTGGTCCGGTACTCAGGCCCTTTCAGCCTTGCTGGTCTGGGTCCCTCTCCCTGCCCCTTGCATTTGCAGCCCCCCATCCTCTGTGGCTGTCCGTCACAATGTGATGGACCTGCCTGGCTGCCTGCCCAGCTCCCCGTGTGCCTGGCCTGGCACACAGAGCAGGCACCTGAAATGCATGCAGAGGAGCAAAGGAAGCCCCTGAAAACGCGGCTGCCACCTGTGCCCATGGCTGTGGATTCTCCGGGGTCCTACAGGCCTGAGGGCTTCCTTGCGGGACCGCACTGGAAAGAGCCTGCTTCTCACTTGACCACCTGCTGCTGGGTTTTTGTGCCACATCCCTTGGGGGGGGGGGGCCCAGATGGTGGACGCCATCTCCTCTTTCATTCTCCCCTGAATTCATCTTAACCTGGGACCATCTTAGGAACAGCGCTTGGCTGCCATCCTTAGGGTTGTGCAGACCCTCTCCAACGTTCTCATTCTCTGGACCCCCAGTTCAGCAGTGACAGCTGTCAGCGCCTCGCCTACTTCCATGCCTACATTCCTGCTTTGGCACTTGGCAGGTAGAGTGACCTCACTGTGGCTGTCAGGAGGGAACAGTAGGGCCGGAATGATGACACGCTCTGTGTTTGAACCCACCTGAGAGGCCACCCTGAACTATTCCAAGGGGCAGATCACCAAGGGAGGAAGGATGAAGCCTTGGGTTTGGGAGTGATGTCTGCAGCTCAGCTGACAGAGGCAGAGGCAGCCAGATAGAGCTCTCACCTGCCCCTGGCCTCTGCCCAGACCTCCTCTCCTCCTGTCAGGGTGGGGTTGGGGCTTGCACTTGGCCTGGCATAGGCCCCAAACCACCAGGGCACAGGGTCTGCAGTGCAGAGGGGATCCAGCCACACGGATGGAGATGCAGGAAGCCGGGGTACCGGCTGCTCTCCGTGGTGGCCGCAGAAGCACTGCTCAGTCACTTCCCGGTCATTTTGTGAGTCAGGACTGGGTAGCTGCAGCAGCAAAGCCCTGGGAGCCACGGAGGGTGCTAGTGCCCTCACCTGGGGGAAGGGCTTGTGGGAACCCAGGTGCCATCTTGGGAGGACCAGCTGTCTGGGGATCTGACGTCGCAGCACAGACACAGACCCTGCAGGGACCCTCACACCTGTCCGGGGGAGCCATGGGTCCGTGCCCGGTGGGGAGGCAGAGTTTGGATCACGGAGGAGAAGGTGCACTTTGGTTCAGCAGGAACAAGATCCTCCTCCAAGGGAGCACTCCCTGTGGGTTGGAGAGCTGGGACCTGGAGCAGGCTGCGTCTCCAGGGCATGGGGCACCGGAGCTGCAGGGAAGCGGGGGTGGGGGGTAGGGGTGAAGGTGAATGTAGGAGGGCCCTCTAGGCCACTTCCGAGTTTGAGTCTAGGACTAAGTTGGCAAACCAGCCTCTCCCACTGTTCATCCCCCAATGGGCTAACGTGCAGAAATCCTGCTCCCCCCTCCTCACCTGCCCAAGGACACTCCTGCCTCCTAGCTAGGGTCCAACTCCTCATCCTGGTATTCAAGCCCCAGGATTTGCCAGCTCCTACCTATCCTTGACCCTGTACCATCATCCAGGGGCCCCCTCCCTCCTTCCCCTACCGTCTTTCATCATTGCCCCTGCTCAGTCACCTCTCCCGGAATCCCTCTCATAGCTCCACTATAAAGCCCCTTCCCATCTCTCCCCCTGGGCAATCTCCCTGTGCCCTGCTCTTTGGTCGGGCGTTTTAACTCTGTGCCTCATTTAGGTACTGCCAGCCTTCTCCCCAGCCAAGTGAGGAGTTGGGTCCCCTAATACAGAGCTGGATGGGGGGGAGGGGCGGGCCTGACAGGCTCCAGGACACGGTGGGCTTAACAGGGGGTCCCGTACGTGGAACCCCCTCCTCCGCTGCAGTCTCAGAATGAGCGGTACCCCTTGGCCAGGATGGAAGAAAGGACGACAGGAGAGCCAGGTGCAGTCCCTAAAACAGGCTCTTTAATCACATTTATGTCTTCATTGAAGAGCTTCGCTTTTCCCACCCAGCGCTGGGCTGGCTGACGCCTGCAGGAGAGCAGGGTCCGCTGGACGGATGGACATGGGGGCGGTTGCCAGGCGGTCGGGCGGCCCAGGGCCCGGCGCGGGGCTAGTAGAAGGAGTACTGGTTCTCCACGGCGCGCGGCCTGCCGCGGGCACCCTCGCCGGGCACGGGCGCGGCCTCCGGGGGCTCCTCCGCGCCGCCCGCCTCCAGCAGCCGCTCGGCGCTGTTGCTGCGGCTGCGGGCGCTCAGCAGGCCCTCGGCGGCGGCGGCGCGCGGGGCCGCGGGCAGGGAGGCAGCTGAGGATGAGGAGGCGGAGGAGGACGAGGCGCCGCCGGCCTCGGAGGGGGAGGCGGGCGGGCAGGCGGCGGCGAGGCTGGAGAAGTAGTGCTGGCCGGCCGGCTCGCTCCAGCAGGCGGGGGGCGCGGGCGCGGCGCTGGGCGAGGGCCCCGGCTCTGCAATAGGACACAGCGCGTCAGTGCCCAGCTCGGTTCCCGCGTCCCCTTCCCAGGCCCAGCGGTCAGAGTGCGGGGGCCTAGGGTCAGAGTCTCACCTGTGTGCTGACCGGTGCTGCCTCTGAGCACCCTTCCCCTTGCAAGGAATCACCCAGGCCGCGCCCATGGGCCGGCCACTCGCCCTCCATCCTAATGGCCCTGATTGCTTACAGCCGCCCCAGTCCTCGCCCTCATCCCACTATGTTTCCCAAACTTCTCCCATGGTGAGAATCACCTGGCGAGGCTGTTAAACTACAGATTCCTGAATCCCAACTAAGGAGTGCTAAACTAGAATTTTTGGAAACATATAAGTAAAATTGCATATTAATTAGTGCACAATTTTACCTATATGTTCCCAAAAATTCTAGTTTAGCACTCCTTAGTTGGGATTCAGGAATCTGCATTTTAACAGCCCCGCCAGGTGATTCTCACCATGGGAGAAGTTTGGGAAACACTGCACTAGAGTTAGCTAAGCTGGGATGCGGCCTACGTGACCCCCTCCTCCCACTGCCCACCTGTCTGTTTCTGGAGCCAGTTACACCTGCCAGGGGGGGGCGTCTTACCGGGCGGGGGGCCTTGGACCCGCACGTAGCTGCGGAGGGTGATGTCCGCGGAGCCCCCGGACTCCAGCGGGATAGGGTGGGTGTGGAAGTGACGCAGCATGTCAAGCACCGACTGGAACCACAGGTGCTGGACGTGGCACTGCCCGTGGCCGTTCAGGGACAAGCGCAGGTGCTGTGGGCACAGATCCGCAGGGTCAGCGGTGGGGTCCTGGACTGGCAAATGCCTTTGGGGGTCCCTGGGAGGGCCAAGTCTCATAAAAGCCCCTGGGGTAAGGTGACCAACAGTCCCGATTTTTAACAATTTGCCCCGCGTCAAGATTCTTTAAAAAAAAATCGGGACTGTTTTAAAACGTCGCTTGACGCGGGATAAATTGTTAAAAATCGGGACTGTCCCGCCAAAAGCGGGACGTCTGGTCACCTTACTCTGGGGCTGTGGCAGAACTGGTTTCTACCACATGAGTCCCACCTGGGAGTGGGGTGGGGGTGGGGAGCCACTCCTGTGGTGGGGGTCGGGATGGGTGGGCAACAGAGCCAGGCTGGGGCCGAAGGGAGCAGACACTTGTCCCTTGGGAGCACCCACATCAGGCCCCTCACCTTCCCTGTCTCAGGTCTCCGAAGCCCTCACAGGGAGAGATGACAGCCCCTGTTTTAGAGACGGGAGACTGAGGCCCAGCGAAGGAGCGGCTCACCCAGTCACAAGGCACAGACTCCCGTTTGTGTGATTCTCCCAGCCCGCTCCCCACAGCCAAAGCCCAGAGGGGAATCACGGGGGGGCTGGGGAGGGGCGGGCAGGGAAGGGGCTGCGCCTCCCCGCTGTGCTGCACTGGCAGCACCTGGAGCCTGGGAGCAGCTGGTGCCGCCCAGGCCCGCGTGGGGCGGTGCCCGGGGGAGAGGAGCCACAGCCTGGGGGCCCTGCAGTGAAGTCTCCGGCTTCAGCTCAGCAGGCGTCCCACAGGAGGGAGAGGGCTGTCACCGGGTGTGTTTGGCAGGAGGAGAGGTGAAAGGAGGGTTTCCGGATATGCACTTGGCCTAGCCACCTACCTGCAGGACAGCCTGGAAGCGGGTGTGTGTGTGTGTGTGTGTGTGTGTGTGTGAATGGCTCCCTGAGTGAATTCTGCCCAGCAGTAGGGCCAGAACAGTGAGCAAACCTGGGAGCAGTAATGGCACCGAGGGCAGGGCCTTGTCCCGGAGGAACTGCCTCAGATCTGCTCTGGGCCTGTGGGGGGCCCCATGCCCCGCACTGCCTGGGCACCATTCTAGCCTCTGGCTTGGGCCTGAGTCAGATCCAGGCCCTTCAGGGAGGCTGCCTGGGGCAGTGCTGGCCAAGGGATACCCGTGGGGCTGCCAGGGATGGCGTTAAGTGCCTGGTTGTCAGAGGAACTGGTAAGGGCAGCTGCTTTCCAAGGAGGCGTCCCCGGGGAGGTGCTGCCTCCTCCACATAATTGACCACACTGCCGAGGACAGAGGCCCCGGGAGCCAGGGAGGGCTTGCACCGGGCCGGCTGGGGGCTGGGACACTGACCACCAAGGGTAGGCCTGGAGCAGGGGTGCTGGGGGAGCCCTCCTCCAGCAGGACTGACAGGAACCATGTCCTGGGAGGGGCCTGGCTGGATCTGTTTCCTTATCAGAAACTCAGGATTGGGTGTGAGTGTGTTGGGGGGGAGGGGTGAAGAGGGGCAAAGGTTGAGGTTTTTGCCTATTCTGGTCACATTGTAACCCCGCACAGTCATCTGATTTTTTGGACATTATTTTCCTTTGCACCTTAGTTAGGTCCTTATATTAGCACCTCGAGAGTCCACTTTGGGAGCACTGTCACACCCTTGCTGTGCCTGCATCATCCTTCCCCCTTCCCCTCCCTCCCCTGCACATCGCAGGTCAAGGTCTGCTCCTAATCCAGCCCTCCAGCCCTCCGCACAGCCCTCCTGCTGGGCCCACCTTCTCCTCCAGTTTGGTCCTCTAGATCAGCGTTTTTCAACCGCTGTTCGAGGCACACGAGATGTTGCCTGGTGTGCCGTAGGTGCAGACAAGACAAGAATTTTATAATTTTTCACTATTTTGTTTACTTAATATTTCATAATAAAGTAATTATAAAATACTTTCTTTGTGTTTATTTGATTCCTATTCAAGAGAATTACTTTATATATAGTCAATATAGGCACAGAGTTAAATTTTTTAACATTTTCTAATGGTGGTGTGCCTCGTGATTTTTTTCAGGAAACAAGTGTGCCTTTGCCCAAAAAAGGTTGAAAAACACTGATCTAGATCCACCTGTGTGTGGTTCCCTCCCACGTCCCTCGGCCTGGGGCCCAGGAAGGGGTGGTGAACTGACCTGAGGAGGCCAGAGGCGGGGCTACCTGGGAGTGGGTGGGGCAGGAGGGCCTTGGTTGAACCCAGACCTGAAACTGAGGTAGACACCCTCTGGAGCCCCAGTGCTACGTGATCCCTGATACACAGGGCCCACGTCAAGTCCTTAGGAGGCCCGGCCTCCTGGGTGCTCAGTCCCAGGAGGGGAATTCCCGTCTGGATAACGGAGAAGCCATATCTGAGGCAGACTTACAACACCCCAGAGAGGTGTGGGAGGGACCCAGGGGGTTCCAAGAGGGTGGCCATGGGTACGCCTGGCGCATGGAAAGTCATGCCACACCTTCACCCCCCGAGCCGCCTCCTGGGGTACGGGCGCAGGCCCAGGCCCCGGCTCACTCGGCCCCCTCGCCCGGGGCTGGCCACTCTGCCCACAGCCCCCTGCACACTTGCCTTGGCCTTGCCTTGGAAGTTGAAAGTCAGCACGTATTCCCCAGGCCGAGTCTCACTCTGGCGGATCACGAAGAGGCCGTGGCTCCGGGCCCCGCCTGCCAGCACCAGCTGGGCTGCCCTGACCCTGGACAGGGTCCCGTGGAACCAGGGGCAGTCAGAGAGCTCCAGCTCAGGGGCCACCTCGGGCTCTGGCTCTGCTCCCTCTTCCCCTGCAGAGGATGAGAGAGGGAGGGGGTGGGAGGGGGCAAATACACGAGAGAAGAGATGCACCGTCTTGTGGAGTTTTCACCTGTAAAACGCTGTTTGGAGAATTTTAGAACAAGGCCAGGAGCTGACCCCACCCACTGGTTAAGCATCTGGGGTCAACTGAGGCCCAGAGAGACGAAGGACTACCTGGGGCAGTCTCTCAGTCAGCAACAAACGTGGGAACACACCAGATTTCCTGTCCCTTACCCCTGGTTCTGACCCTCCGCACCCCCTCTGAGAGCATTTTCCATTGAAACCAGGGCTTGTGGGAGGTTGTGATCTGGGCTGGCCTACAAATGCTAGCTGCTCTGAGCTGCTGAGCAGAGGACGAGGTGGGATAAAGTGCTACAACTTCTGAGGCTCAGGAAGGCTGTGGAGGGAGCCCGGGCCTTAGGCTGGCAGCAGAGGAGGGAGGGGCTGGGAGAGCAGGCTGCCCCACTGCACCTGTGAGATTGCTGTCACCCCCGCTGCCGCCCGGGGCCTCCAGAGTCTCCAGGAAGGTCTCCAGTGGGACGTGGACCAGGGACTCGCTGACGGCATCTCGAGCTCGGCCGTGTGGGGCGCTCACCACGGCTGCGGCTGTCTCTGGGAGCCGGGGCAGGTCCACTGCGGGAGAAGTGGCAGGTGAGAAGCACATCTGTCCGGCCATCTCGGAGTGACCACCCCCCTCCCAACCCCGCCATCCACTCCTGCAGCCAGCTCTGCCCCGCCTACCCTCCGCGAGGAGCTCACAGCTGCAGGAGGCCACGCGGCTGGCCAGACAGCCTCCCCGGGCGCAGGACAGCTCTGCGTCTTCCTCGCTGTCCCTGTGAGGGCAAGAAAGCACAGCCCTGTTCTCGCGTGGGATCCGGACCCTGGCCTGCTCACCGAACCAGGCAGTGGCTCACCCGAGGGCCCTGTGCCTCCCATGTCCCTCTGCCACACTCTCAGCTTGTTCTCTGGCTGCTATGTGTGACTGGGGCGTATGAGAGAGGTCCCCAGGTGGGGACAGCCCTCCTAGAGGTCACAGGACCCCTGCCTACGAACTGGGGCCCCATGGAGTCCCGCAAATGGAGGCAGGACCTGGCAGTGGGCGGGGCAGGCCTTAGTCTTCCCATTTGTGGCCCTGCGGGTTCTAAAACACCTATTGCAAGGTTCACCTTCACAGGGCCTGAGGAAAGAGCTTGCAGGACAGACGGTTGGAAGGGTGGCAGGGGATGGGTTATAACCACTTTGGGGACTGGGGCCCTGGGTGGGACTTTAATTGTGCTTCTTTAAACGAAGCTGTTAATTAGAAAGCAGCAGCCCCTCCCCTCGGGGTTCGGCTCACCCCATTAGCCAGAAGAGCTGCTGCCAAATGCTCTGCTGCTGGTCTGCCTGCCCCGCCCACTCCCGCCTCAGGATCTCTCCCGGATGATGCAGCCGGCCTCCCTGTTGCTCTCCCTGAGCACAGCTGACAGCAGCTGTGTCGTGTCCCCCCCCCCGTTTACCACCGCCCATGGCTCCCCACTGACTTAGCAGCTTCTCGGCTCTCATCAAAGCCCCCTCCTCACCAGCCCCAATTCTAATCACCTGGCCTCAATGTTCCCTGCAAGTTCAGGCTCACACACACCTCCACACCTTTTCCCGGGCTGTTCTCTCTGCCCTCCCTTATCCCCGCCCCCTCTGCCTGGCTCAGGTCCACTCTTTCTTTAAGCCTCTGGGATGGTGAGCACCTCTGCCAGCATGCCTTATCTGAGCCCCAGGCTGGGTTAGGCACCTACCCCTGTACCTTTGGGCTGCGTGCCCCCTCCCATCACCACCGCCCTTCTCCTAGTGGTCTCAGGCCCCAGGGGCGAGAACAAGACTTGATCCAACTTCTTCCTAGGTCCCCAGGCCCTGCCCCTGCAGAGCAGGCCTCAAAAAGCCTGCGGGGTTAGGGGTGGGGGTACGGATGAACGGCCGGCACCAACCTGGAGAGAACTGCCATGAGAAAAGTCCACTTCTGGAGCTCAGCACCAGATAGCTACCTGCAACCTGCCCACCTGCCCCAGGGCCACGTGGGCACTCACCCAGGGTCCACGCAGCCCTGGATGTCAGCCACCCACGAGTGCTTCTGCAGGGAGTCGATGGTCTCCAGGATGTACTCTGCTCCGTTCTCCACCTGGGGAAGGAGTCCAGACAGCAGTCAGTACCCGAACCTCCGCCATTCTCAGCCGGCGGCTCCGGACCACAGGACAAATGGCTTACCCTCCCCTTCTCCGTAGTGGCTCACTGGTGTGAGCATCAGGGAAGAAGGTGGGGTCACCATCAAGCACCACCCCAAACCCGGGCCAAGGTCCTGGGGTGGAGCCTCCTCCCGCACTCTCAGCAGCCCTCAGGGATGATGCGCAGGCACCTGAGATGAAGCCTGGGGAAGGCTGGGCTGACAGCCTGAAGATGAGGTGAAAGGACCCATAACCCTCAAGTCAGCCAGGGGGCCAGCTGGCTCAGCACCCTGGGCTGAGGACCTCACCTGTCTCAGGGGCTGGACCTCTACCTCTGAGGTCACCCCTGGGATGAGCAGCCTCCACAGGGGGAAGGGCGGGGGGGGGGGCGGGAAGCCCTTGCCTTGGGCCAGGCCCAGAGTGCCATCCTGCACATTCATTATGTGGTGAGCTCTTCCCAACAGCCCTGGGAGGGAGGCAATGCGCTTCCCCCATCGCACAGGTGAGAAGCCGAGGCTCAGAGAGGCCGGGCCACTTGCGTAAAGCCCCACCAGTACTCTGGCAGTGCTGGGACGTGAACCAGGCCTCTGACGCCGAGGACCTGTGCTCTCTGCTTCCTATGTGTCAGCGCAGCTGGACTCCCAGCATCCCAGAGCTGGGAGGGTCCTTTTCTGAATAGATGGGGAAATCGAGGCCCGGGGGCGGTGGGGGTGGGCTTAGCCTCAGGGCTCCTGAGCCAGTCAGCAGCTCAGTGGCCACTCACTGCTGGGAGTGACGCTTGGACCTGTCTCACCCAGCAGATGGGAATGCCACGCAGGGCGGGGCTGTGTCCTCAGCCTCCAGCTGGGGTGGCTCAGGCCAGCGGGTGGGCACATGTTTGCTGAGTGAAAAAGGGAGGTCGTGACTGAACAAGCAGGGGAGAACAAGAACATGAGCCCAACCAGGAGCCTGGAGAAGAGGGTGGGGGCTCCATGCAGCTTGGGGGAGGGGAGGTGGGACCAGGTCTCCAAACATCCTGTATTCTTTTGAGGAGGCACAGGGCACAGCCCTGGCAGCCCAGAGCCCTGTCCTCAGACCCCGAGCCGGCTACTCCAGCGACATGGGCCCTAGAAAAAGGACGAACTGCATCCCGCCCACCTTGCGTGCCTGTGCCCTCTGTGGGACCATGTGGGCTCCCACACTCCAGTGCTCTGCAACAGGGGCATTTGTGTAACTGCTGCAGCCTGGCTACCAGTTTGCCTGCCCTTACGTGCTGGCTCCAGTGTGTGTGTGTGTGGTGGGGGTGGTGGTGGGGGTGGAGGTGGGGTGGGGAGTGTGGGAAGGGAGGAAGTGAAACTCAGGAGCTTCATGGGCCCCAGGAGGAAATAAGAACAGGGGGCCCCAGATGGAGGGTGACACCCAAGGCACTTGGTTCTAAAGCCCCGGCCTACACTTGTCATTGTGAGGTGCCTGACATCTGTGTAGGGTGCTAAGACCCACCCAACTGGGACCCTCCCCCTGCAGTGGCCACCAGCTGAACCGCCCACGAGGGAGGTAGTCTGGGGCAGCCAGAGGACCCATAGGGCTGAGGGTGAGACTCACCTTGAGCACAAACGTGTTGTCCTTCTCGGGCATCTCCAGGGGCATGGTGGTACGGACCTCGATAATGGCGGAGAGAGGGATGCTGACCTTGGGCCTGGAGGCCTGGGACGCCAGAGGGAGGGGCAGTGAGAATCACCACAGGGCCTTCGGAACCCTCTCTACGCTCCCCACTTCCCAAATGTCAGAGCAGCCCCCAGCTTAGGACGCCATAGCAGCAGTGGCACAAAGGTGTTTCAATCCCCATTTCACAGACGGGTAAGCTGAGGAAGTCTCTGGGAAACAAAGGGACTGCCCCCTCCTATAGTCACACAGCATGTGAGGGACAGGGCTAGGTGGCATCGGAGTCTCCCACCTTTGAGCCCTGCAGGGTGAACTGTGCCAGGGCGGCCCTTCTGCCCGTTGCACCACCAGGTCTGTGGGTTTCACATTTTTTTTTTTACCTTGACTTGTAGTAAGGAATACATTTGACGCTATGACCCAGTACACACACAGGTAAAAATACCTCTGAAATAAATGTTTCAGCATACACTATCTACCCTGACGGTGTGATGGAGTGTGATATTTTCTGTTTTATTCTAGTCCGTTTAAAAATAATGCAGGTCTCTCCCTCAAATTAGACTTCCCAGAGCACAGCCCTGGAGCCCGCCTGAGCCAGGGTTCCTGGAACTGGGCAGGGCCATACCTTCCGGTGGAGGAAAAGGGGCCAGTGGGGGGTTCAACCAAGGTGAGCTGGCAGAACTCCCAGGGAGGGCTACTTGGTGCCTGGCCCTCCCTACTTAGCCCCAAAGCTCCCGGCCGTGACCCGAAAGCCCCCTGGGGTGGCTTGAGACAGATTCCTGGCAGGGCTTGGGCTCTGGAACAGGGACTTTCTCAGGAGGAAAGGGAAGGACCACGTGTGTGTGTGTGAGTGTGTTGTGGGGGGGAGGAGAGGGTGTGAGGCAGGCAAATGGGAATTCCTGGCAGCACTGGATACCATCCAGCGGGTGCAGGGCTGGCTGGGCTTGGAGTGCTGATGGAGGGGCTCGGCTGACCATGGCAGGCCACTGTGCCAGCCACTGGGGTAGGGGCCACCGGAGAGCATGGGACAGACAGAGGTCCGCAGTGAAGGCCTGGACTCCCGCGGGCAGGAGGCACTCATTCCTCCACTGACATTTGAGGCCTCTGTCCTGGCCCAGAGGCCTTCCCCTGATCCAGCCACACCTCACTGTGCTCTGGACAGAGCCATAGGCTGTTTCATGACTCCAGGCCACCACTTATTTATAGCTGTGCCTCTGGGAAATGCCTGTCCTGGGGCCCTGCTGCTTGGGGAGCACTCACACAGCCTTGGGGCCCCTGGAGCACCCAGTGCTCACCCCATTGAGGTTTACCATCCAGTCCTGCAAATACCGGGCTCCCAGTGGCAGGGGGCCAGCCTGGCGCCGGGCTCTGAGGGGCGGGAGGCCACAGGCCTGATCCATGGGGCTGTGTGAGAGGAAAGTCGTAGGGTCCCGGGAAACAGGCCCCCAGCATGAGCTCCTGTCCGCTCCAGGGTGCAGCTAGGTCTCCAGGACTAAAACACAGTGGGGCATAGCAGCAGGGCCTCCCGGGGGCATACATTTGGGAAGCCAGACTTGAACTCTTACCATGGTGTGATCCACCTTCCTATCAGCTGAATTCCCAGACATTTGCATGAAAAACAAAGGGTTGGCCTGGCTGGCATGGCTCAGCGGTTGAGCATCGACCTATGAACCAGGAGGTCACAGTTCGATTTCTGGTCAGGGCACATGCCCGGGTTGGGGACTCAGTCCCCACTGGGGGCGTGTAGGAGGCAGCTGATCAATGAGACTCATCATTGATGTTTCTCTTTCTCCCTCTGTGAAGTAAAAAAAAAAAAAAAAAAAAAAAAAGTTTAAAAAATATATACACACTTCTCCCCCCAAAACGAAGGGTTGGGGGAGGGGAGGAAACCGCCTGCCTTCCTCAGAGGTGGGAAGTGACCTGCCTGCTGCCAGTGGTGGGTAGTGGGCTTAGTGGGGCGGCCAAAGCACCAGCTGCTGCAGCCCCACCCGGAAGGCGGCAGTCACTGCCATTGAGACAGCAGGGCAGCTGTGCCTGCCACTCAGCGCCTGGAGCCGGGCCTCTGCCTCTGCCCTTTGGGTGACCCTGAGCAAGCCCCACCTCACTCCCCACCCTCACTGGGCCTGGCCTCCACAAGGGGGGTAGCGGGGAGGGGAGTGGGGCTTCTTTGTCTATGATTTCTCTCTGGGAAGGCACCTTGGTGAGCACACAGCCCTGGGGGAGTCGGGGTGTGTGTGTGTGTGTGTGTGTGTGTGTGTGTGTGTCCCAGGACTTGGGAACAAAGCTCTCAGACAGAGAGGATGCCCCTGGGAAGTCAGTCCATCCCCCTGCCCCTCCAATGGAACCCACGGCTCCAACAACCAGGGCGATGGGGACAGAGGCGAGACGCAGGGTGACTACAGCCACTGAGGACAGAGGGGGCGAGGTCAGTGGCAGCCCTGGGTGGCTCTTGGGGTGCCGCCAGCTGCTGCACCAGCATGACCGCCACCTTCCTGAACCTCCCAGTGCACCCGGCGCTCCCTCCTCCCAGCTCCGTTCATTGCCGGGACCACCAGGGTGGTGGGCATAGGTCGCCCAGCGCTGCCACCCACAAACTATGTGCTTTGGGCAGGCCACCTCCGCTCCCTGAACCCAACTTTAATTTGTTTTCTCTTGTGTGATCTTGAGGCCATGGGGCCCACCTAGTGGAATGCAGGGAGGCGGGGCTGCCCAATGGCTGGGCACAGGGCAGGCTCTCAGGAATGGGCACGATTGTTACCCTCATCCCCCTTTCCAAACACTGCAGGTCTGCCACCCTGGAGGAGACCCATGGCTGTGGCCAGGGCGCCTTTGGTGAGCACCCACGAGGGTACAGGGGGCAGCGCACTCAGCTGAGCAGCAGCTGGCGCTGAGCCTTTGAAACCCGAGGCCACAAAAGGGCCATCCGGGCAGGGGCTGAGCGGCAGCCTGGCGACCTCACTGGGGCCCACAGGTTCCCACCAGGACAGAGCAGCCCTTCCGGGGCCTCAGAGGGTGCCGGCCGCTGCCTGCCCTCATCTCGCAGGCCTCCCCTCGGCGGCTCCAGCCACCCAGGGCCCCAGGGAAGGAAGAGGGCAGAGCGCCTGGCATCGCAGCGGCACGAAGCACAGCACCCGGCGCCTGTCCTGCAGCCGGGAGCCCCTCCGACACCACACAGGCGCTGAGGCCTTGGAGGTTGGGTGACCTGTGGGCGAGGAGCGCGGCCCACATCCCAGGACCCCGACCCTCAGCCCGGGCCAGGCCCGGCTCCCACCCTCGCTCGGGCGGGCGGGCAGGGCGCTCACCTTGGGCGGCACGAAGAACTCGAGGCGGAAGCGCTCGCCGGCCACGGCCCGGCGCAGGAGCAGGCGGCACTTCTGCCACTGGGCGGCGCCCGGGCCCGCGGCCGCGTCGTCCGCCACCATGAAGCGCAGCGCGCCCTCGCGCTGGATGTCCACCAGCTCCACCTTGGCCGCCAGCGTCCGCGACAGCCGCCAGCGCCGCGTCCACCGGTCGCGCGCCGCCTCGGCGCGGGGCTCGGGGGCGCGCGGGGCGGCGTCGGGCTCGGGGGCGCGCCGGTGCCACAGGTCGCGCACGCCGTCCGCCACGCACAGGCTCACGTTGCGCAGCGAGAAGCCCTTGCGGGCGCCGCGGGCCCGGGCCGCCGCCGCCTCCGCGGACACGTCCTCGTTGCTCCGCGAGTGGCCGCACGCCGCCGCCGGGAGCGCGGCCGGCGGGGCCTCCATGGCCCCCAGGGGCGCGGCGCCCAGCACGCGGCGCACCGCCTCGCCGAAGGCGTCCAGGAAGTGGGCGGCGAAGTGGCGGGAGAAGGAGGCCCCGGCGTCCGGCGTGTCGTAGGCCGGGTGGTCCCGCAGGAAGCGGCAGAACTTGTGCGCGAAGTCCGCGGCGGCCGCCTGCGCGTGCAGCTCGCAGAACTGCCGCCAGTCCGGGGCGGCGGGGTCCGGGGCGGCGGGGCCGGGGCCGGCGGCGGCACCATTCATGGCTTCCGTCCCATCGCAGCCGTCTGTCTGCAGCTACGGGCGAGATGAGCGAGAAGAGCGAGAAGAGCTCCGGTGACTGTGCGGCCTCCGCCCGAGGCCCGCCTGTCCCTGCTCTGCCTGCGCCCCCAAGGCTCAGGCTGGGGGTGGGAGGTGGGGGTGTCTGGGAGAGTGAAGCAGCAACTTTTCTGGCAAAGAAAGGAGATGCGCCTCTTAGGGTCCCCATTTTGCTATGACCTTTAGATTGGGGGGAGGGGAGTGCGCCATCCCTTCCTGTGAATTAGCCAATCGCACAATAATGTGAACCCAAGCCGAAACCGGTTTGGCTCAGTGGATAGGGCATCAGCCTGTGGACTGAAAGGTCCCAGGTTGGATTCCGGTCAAGGGCATGTACCTTGGTTGCGGGCACATCCCCAGCAGGGGGTGAGCAGGAGGTGGCTGATCGATGTTTCTCTCTCATCAATGTTTCTAGCTCTCTATCTCTCTCCCTTCCTCTCTGTAAAAAAAAAAAAAATCAATAAAATATTTATAAAATAATAATAATATGAACCCGAGCTCAGAGCCCTGACCAATCAAATCAGCGTCACAGTGAGTGGCAGGGCAGATGGGGGGGGGGGGGGGGGAGAGAAAGAAATAAACCAAAGGGATTTCCTATTTGGTGTGCTTTGGCCATGATTTTCAGCCGCAGCTGCACCCTCTGCAGAAGTGAACAGGCCTTGCCCATCCAGTTTTGAGTGTTTGTTTCATCCCCCTAACCCTGCTGAGCGTTTCTCACAGCCTGAGTGTGCTGGGTGGGTGAGGAGCAGGCACTCCCCCCCACCCCCCCACCAGGGAGGTGCAAGGCATTGTCTGCAGGAGGGAGACCCCATTTACTGTCTCTTCAAACAGCAGCTTCAGTCAGGACCCCAACGTCATTGCTGGGGCAGCAAAAGGAGGCTGGGATAACAGGTGCCTTGAAGTGGGGTCCCCATGAGCCTCAGTGACCTCACTTCCCCAGATAAGCTCTCCCAAGGGCTCCCAAGCCCCGTGGACAAGAAGCCATGTGCAATCCTTTGGGCTACACGTTTGAAATATGCGGGAACCCAGCCTCCCCTCCCCTCACTGCCGTCCAGGTTATGTGTCCCCAGACATCATTTCTAAAACATAAGGCAGATCAGGTCCCTCCTCTGCTCAAAATCTGCAACGGCTCCCATTCCACTCAGAGTAAGACCTCACACCGTCCTGCCACTCTTCCTGCCCATTCTGCTCTGGCCACACCTGCCTCCCGTCATTGCGGAAGCATGGCAGTCGTATTTCTACCTCAGGCCCTTTGCACTTCCCTGGGATGTTCTTTCCTCCACATTCCCTCACCGCCTGCAGGTTTCTGCTCCAACACCCTCTGGTCTGATAACCTTCCCTGACCACCACTCTACTGAGAACCAGAAATGCCCCCACTCCACCCAGCACTGGCATCTCCTGCCCTTTGCCTGCTTACTTTTCTCCATAACGTGTACCCTCGTCCGACATACCACTTATTCACTCGCTTGGTGCATGCCAGCTCCACGAGGCAGGTATTCTAAGTCTTATAAGCCGCTGTGTCCCCAGTGCTTGGCTCATGATAGGTACCCTGCAAACAACGAATGAATAAGTGAACCTGTTTGGCTACTGGGCATGTCACCGCTGTCACCACCTACACTGTCCCATGGGGCCTGGGGACACACAGCTTGTTAGTGAGAGGCCTGGGATTCTCACCCGACTCCAGGGCTTGGGGGCCACCTCCTAGGGTGGGTTAAGTGTGAGGAATTGTTCATGCTGGCATTGAGGGCACTGCCTCCTCAGACTTCTTTCCACCACAGTGGCCTGCACGCTGTACTTGTGTCCCCACCTCCTGGAGACCCGTGGCCTCCAGGGCGCCCATCCACAGCCAACCTCTTGAAGAGGCTCCAATCCGGGAATCCCAGCTGTCTCTTCACCCAGCTCCCTCCTCCTTACTCCCAGGGCCCCCATCCCTCATCATTCTGGCTTGCCAAATTACTTGGTATTCAGGGGCTTTGCCTCCTTGTGTCCCAATGTGGCCACCAGCCCTGGGACACAGTTACAGCTCGTTGTGTTTATGTAACCCCCTCCCTGGGAAGGGCTAGGGTGAATTTACCAGTGGAGAAGAGGGTGAGCCTTGGGGAGCCCATCCGAGGGGGCCAGCCCAGTGTTAGGGGAACTAAGACAGAGGGCCATGCCCTCAGCTGCCCTCCCCAGGATCCCACATTTCCTGGCATAGCCGTTGAAGCTCTTAGGAGTACCATCTCCTCTCCTCTCTGGGATCCAAACTCTGTCATTAAAGCCAGGTAAAAATAGCTCCCCACTTCTGTGAGGTCATGTGCAGGGCCTCTGGGCCACAGGCACTGTGGGAATTCCCTCTCACCTCGGGGCACCTCTGGCCATCGGTCTGCCGTCAATAACCACAGGACGGCCCCAGGGAGAAAGCAGGCCATTTGATACCACTTAGCATAGAGGTCCGCTTTCTAAACCAGCAGCTCTCCTGCCCTCGCACTGGGGGAGAGGCAACAGGAGCTAGAAGATTTCCTGGAAGAGGCGGGCCTACTTTGGGCTTCCTGGCTGGAAGAGAAGGAAGGCAGCCCTCCCTGAAGGCCTGAGCAATACCTGGGAGGCAAGGGACCGAGGCACCCATGAGCTTGGCTCATGCTGAGCCTTTTTAATGTCCTGCTCTTCCACCTTTATCTGGCTAAATCCCACTCACCCTTCAATAATCAGTCCAGGGACACTTCCTCCAGGAAGCCTTCTCTGACCTCTCCCTGCCAGGTGGCATGAGTGTCTCCTCTGAGCTCCCACAATCCCCTCCTGTACATTCCTCTAGCAAGGTGTAAATTGCAGGGCGCTCCAGATGTGTTTCCATGTCTCTCCTTCTCAGCTGGCTCAGGCACTCCTTGGGGGCAGAAGCCAGGCCTGAGTCATGCCAGCAATGGAAGTAGAGGCAGAAACGCACCTGCCCCACCACCAAGGCCTCCAGAGGAGGAGAGCTGAGGCCTCCGCCTGCCCCACGGAGAGGGGTGTTTTGGGGGGTGGGGGTGGGGAGAAGGCCCTGCAGCTAAGACCATGAGGGCCTGTCCCCGTGCTCCAAGCCCATCCATTTTACCCAGCAGGGCAGTTCCCCAAAGTGACCACCTCCCCGCTGTACCACCGAGACCGCCAGGACGGCCAGGCTGGATGACACGGCGCCTGGAAGGGCCAGCACTGGTGCCATCACCAAGTGTGGATGCCCCTGTTTGACAGAGTTTTGCTCCCACCTCCCACACGGGGCAGGTGGGGCAGGGAGGAAGTCAGTCCCCGTTCCCCATCCTCTGGCATTAATCCCTGTTCTTCCTGCTCTTCCTGCTGGCTGACAGCATGCTTGGCAAGAGGGGGCAGAGTAGAGACAGATCCCTGGGGCAGGCTCTCACAGGGGGGCCACAGCTCGCCCTCCCTGGAGGTAGGGGTGGCCCTCGGAGAGGAATCTGCTGTGGCCGCTCCTCAGGAAGGTCCTAGCTTGACCTTCCCTACCCGCCTTGCTGCTGGCCAGCAGTCAATAGGCCTGATGCCCAGCACAGCAGCCCTCCGTGTCCCCGGGGTCCAGCCGGGCTACACAGAAGTGACAAGGGTTGAGCAGCCAAAGATAAAAGTCACAAGCAGCAGGGCCAGCAGGAAGCCCCGTACTTAATTACAGACGGGGAGACAGGGCCCAGGCATGCCTCTCTGCGAAGGGGAGGCTGCAAGTCACATGCAAGAGGACTCGGACCCAGCAAGGGCAAGGGCGTGCTGTGGGCCAGAACTGGGGTGAGACCATGTGCAGGGCCCTCGGCTGGCCTGGGCTCTCCGGGTGAGTGGCTCCTCCAATGGCCCCGGAGTCAGGGTAAGACAATCAGGATGGGGCTCCCCAGGCCTCAGCTTCCCATCGATAAAATGGGGTGCTGGAGCAGTGGCTCTAGTGGCCCCTGACTCGGACGGCTCTTGGACATTTTTTACTGGGCCCTTCTATCCTCCACTGGGACCGGGGCAGGCGGGGGTGGGGGGGTGGGGCCGGCTCTCACTGTCACAGGCCTCTCTGAGGATTGGGGCTGGAGACAAAGGGAGCCCCAGCCCGGGGTCTGGGCATCAGGTGCTGGCTCCCCAGGGGCTCGGGCCTCCCTCGATCCTCACCAGGGCTTTGTGTTTCTTTTTTCCAGGCTCAGCTGGGCTTCCTGGCTTCTCCTCCTGGATAAATGTTTTTTGTTCCCATCTCGCCAGGGCGGGAGCTGGATGGGATGGGGCTTCAGGGAGGCAGGGCAGGGGAAGCCTAAGAATCTCTGCTTTCCAAGCGCAGACTCTCCTAACCCCTCCGACAGGAACCAGACGGGAGACCATCCCCCACCCCTGCGAGCAGAGGCCTGAGAGAGGGGGCGGCTGGCCTTCCGGTGGTAAAAATAGCGCTGACAATTGGAAAAGAAAAAGAAGACCAGTTGTCAGCCCCCGCAGCACGCAGTTCCGGATCCCACGGCCAGGTCATTCCTTAAAATATTGATGAGGCATCTGAGCCGCCCCCACTAATGCACAGAGGACCAATCCATCCACCACACAGGATGGTTGCCTGGGGGCCGGGGGTGGGGGCGGGGGGAGGGACCGCCGGGGCCACCGGAGGCTTCCCCTCTCCCCGCCCCTCTGCAGCAGTGTTTCTGGGGTGCGCCAGCTGGGACTGGCTTCCCTACCACAGGGGACAACTGACCCCTCACCCCTTCCCGGGAAGGAAGGAGGCCCAGCAGTGCAAACTGGCAGCACTCAGAAAGGCTGCCCCCGCAGGCCACACCGAGGCAGGACCTGGGCAGCATCCTGCACCACAAGTCCCCCCCTCCCCCCCAGGTGCAGGAAGGGATGGTAAGGGTCAGAGCTAAGGGTGGGGTCAGAACTAAGAGTGCCCACCCCCATAAAGCATTCATGATGGGGAGACTGAGGCTTCTTCTTGGGGTCCCCCAATACAAGAGGACACAAGCCTCACTTGGCTCTTCCCTGGGAAGCTGGCCCTAGCGATGTCCACTGATGTCCTCTCCTCTGGGCCTGGCCTGGCCGGTCCAGCCCAGCACTCAGAAGGCTCCTTCGGTCCTCCATCCTACTGTTCTTGCAGCTGCCCTCCTGGCCTCTGTGGAACAGGCCCCTCCAGCCCTCCGAAGGACAGACAACCTTTGGGCAGGTTGTTCCATCTGCCATGAGTGCTTTCTGCCTCCTGCCGCCTGACTCCCCCCTGCAGATGGAGGCACAGAACAGACAGGGCAGGCACATTCTCTGATTCACGGTTGGCTACTTGGGTGTCAGTTCTCAAGTCTACTCCCCACCTTATCCTGACCCCCCCTCCCCCTGAAGCGTCCCCATGGGGCAGGTTCTGAACCAAGGCTTCCTGTGAGAGTGAGGCGTGGCTGGAATTCCCCAACCTTCCCTACCCAGAACATCTGTGCTCACCCCATGACCCTGCCTGAAGGCAGAAGTAGGTATGATTTTGGTCTTAACACCCTTGAACCTGCTGGGACTTTGATGCAGAGCGTGTGGGAGGACAGTGGCTGGGACAGGTTAAGAGCCCTTGGGACTTTGCCTTGGGCGAGTGGGAGGGGGGGCACTCAGGGAGCCCCAGCTTTTCTGAGCATCAGTTTTCCTGGCTGTGAAGGAGGACCATCCTGCTCGCCCACACAGATTATTCCCGGTCCAGGGCCATGCTGAGGAGCATGATGAGCATCGTGAGGAGGCAGCTGCTCAAAGCTGGGAGAGCAGCTCACACCCTTCACAGGACCCCAGCCTTTGTCACTGGGGGCGAGGAAGACCTCTAGCTTTCACTGGCCTCTCGGACCTTGACAGGCCCTGCAAACTTCCAATCCCAGGGGGCCCCACTGCTGCCTCCCTATCTCCGCCTCTGGTCACTTGACTCACGGGACAGTGGAGTGGTTACAAGCCTGAAATCTAGAGCCAGACCTCCTGGGTTTGAATCCCGGCTCCTCTGCTTCCTAGCTGTGTCACTGAGGGTACGTGACTCAGCTTCCCAGGGCCCCCGTTTCCTCATCTGTTAAAACAGAGGGTGATCCAGCACTGACTGTTATCAAAGGGCCATCATGAAGATCAAATAAGTAGTTTGTTTAAAAGTAAAGTTCTTCTGCTTCTAGTTCTTTTTTTTTTTTTAATATATTTTATTGATTTTTTACAGAGAGGAAGGGAGAGAGATAGAGAGCTAGAAACGTTGATGAGAAACATCAACCAGCTGCCTCCTGCACACCCCCTACTGGGGATGTGCCCGCAACCAACGTACATGCCCCTGACCGGAATCGAACCCGGGACCCTTCAGTCCACAGACCGACGCTCTACCACTGAGCCAAACCGGTTTTGGCTGCTTCTAGTTCTTAAGTTTCTTGCATTCATTCCCTCTTTTCTCCCATTGCTCTGGGCAGAGGGTCACAGAGGCCTCACTTCTGCTTCTACTCCCCCCCCCCCCCACCCCCCCCCCCGACACATCCAGGCTCCACAGAGTAGCCAAGGCAATCTTGCGGGAACCCACACCTACCAGTAATTGGCTATGCCCCTGTTTAAAGCTCCTTTCCTCTCACATCTTCCAAGCCAGGAAGAGAGGGTTCTGGCAGGGGGGGTGACTGGCCCATCTTTCCCTGGATTTACACTGGGCCCCACTGTGTGTCAGGAGCCATGCCGGCAGGCAGGTCCAGGGTCACAGGCAGATGAGCGGGGAGTGTGGAGTCAGGTTCAGATCTGCCCCTTACGTAGCAGACGCTAGCCCAAACAGAGCCCTGGAGAGCTCTCCCTCTGAGGACACAATTGGGTTACCTAGCCCCTGACTCAGGAATAGAGATGCCTGGGCTCAGAGGAGAGGGCACTCTGACAGGCAGGACAATCCAGAGGTGGGCCCTGCAGGAATTAGATGCCACGTAGGCACGAGTGGGGTCCAGGACAATAAACTGCACCAGGGCCTGCGGGCTTAGGAGGGAATCCCATCTTCCTTCAGGAGCACCTGGTGCTGGACAGTTCCTGGGCAGGCTCTGCCGATGGAGCGAGGCTGGCACGGCTCTGGCTGCACTCCTCTTGCCCTCCTGGGGCTGCAGAGCAGAGCCACCCCCTCTCCAGCCTCTCCCTCTCTCCCAGGGTCGTGGATCTCACTTTGGCCTTGATTCATACTCCTCCCAGACCTCCCTAGCCCCTGACTCAGCCCCCACAAACTTGCAGAACACCTCCCTCAACCCTACCACTCAGCCCACCAGCCTGCCTTCTGACTTCTTCATGACACACGTACCATGCCTCCCCTGGATTCTGAAGATCCCAGAACTCTGGAATTGTGGGTGATTGTAAAGGTTCCCTGGGAGCCGAGACCGGTTTGGCTCAATGGATAGAGCGTCGGCTTGGGGACTGAAGGGTCCCGGGTTCGATTCCGGACAAGGGCATGTACCTTGGTTGCGGGCACATCCCCAGTAGGGGGTGTGCAAGAGGCAACTGATCGATGATGACTCTCTCTCATTGATGTTTCTAGCTCTCCATCTCTCTCCCTTCCTCTCTGTACAAAATCAATAAAATATATTTTAAAAATAATAATAATAAAAAAATAAAGGTTCCCTGGGCCTTTCTCTGAGCAACCAAACTCCCTGCCTGGTTGATAACCAGCACCTCAAACTCTCCATATCCAAGTTCTAACATCCTCTTCCTCCAGCCCCTGCTTGTCCTCAGCTCGGAGTCTTTTAGTACACATTGCCCCACCTGCTCCACTTCTCGGCCCGAACAGTTGGCAGGCTCCAAATTCACAGAGGCCTTGGGAACACCCCCTTTATACTGTCCCTACCTCCACTCCCCCAACCCCTCCACAATGCCACAATGCTGTGGCCTGTCTTCATCAGACCACGAGTCTCCAGATGAGTATTATACCCACCATAGGACCCACGTGGGCCCTACGCACAGAGGATTGGCGGTATCTGGCGAATGGAGCCCAAACCCTGCTTCACCCTGGAGCCGAGAGAGGCTGTTCTCCCACATACTGATGCCCTGTCTACCTGTGCCCAAACAGGTTCAAGCTGTGATCTCCTCCAAATGCTGAGAAGTCTTATCTGCTCTCCCCTGAGACAGAGTACAGCCATAAAAACTTCCCCAGACTCCAAAGCTGCCACCACCCTTCCAAGTCCCATGTGGACAGCAAGGCACAGGACGTGAGACAGGCTTCAAGATGGACCAGCAGCCAAGAGACACCTACGCCTCCAATTCCCTACAATCCAGGAGAGGCAGACAGGGCAAGAGGCAAGAACCAGGCTCTAGTCAGAGAGAAGTGGTTTGGAGGCCTGGCTTGTTGGTTGAGTTACTTTGGGCAAGTCATTTCACCTCCTTGAATCTCTTTCTTTTTCTGTAAAATGGGGATAATAATACCAAAATGGGGATAATAGTACCAAACCCACAGGGTTGTGGAGATTACATGAGAAACAGCATGATGCCCTTAGCCTGGCAGGAGTCATCTTCAAACCAAATGCTCAGCCTTGGGGGTGCCCAGGTTCCACCTGGCAAGGGGGGTATCTTCCCTCCAACACTCCCTAGAAAAGCCCACCCTTGGGTGTGAGTGCAAGGGAGACCCACTAAACAGGGAGGAGGGTTTAGAAAGTGTAGACAGGTTTTTCACCATAAGGATAAGAAGAAATTAACTCTCCATTCCTTAGAGCTATTCAACTAACCGGCTCCAGAACTCTTGCCCACCATCATTCACACCCCGGGGTGAAAGGAGCAGAAGAAAGCGGCCTTTGAGACCCTAACAAATGCTCTGACCCACCCCAGCTTCACCGCACTGCCTGGCCGTTCTCAAAGTTCCTAGAGTGGAAAGGTTCTAGGTCAGTCCCCCACCAACGGCCTTCTGGATGGAGCATGGTGGCAGGGAGGAAAGAGATTTGTTCAAAGTGGGGGGCAGAGGAGGAGGGGGTTCATATCACACTCCCAACAGAGTCAGCCAAAGCCTCCTGGGATCACCACCCCTGCTCCTCCTGCCCTGGCAGAGGGGCTCATTCCCCTCATGCTCAGTGACCTGCGTTGCAGGGGGCAATTCTCGCTGGCCACCCAGCCAGGATGCAGGCAGCACCGTTCCCATTTCACAGAGTAGATAATAAAGGCTCCAAGGACAGGGGTAGGTTTCAACCCAGATTTGACTCCAGACCTAGAGGCTCTCCCCTGCACCAGCTCGGTGTGAACACAGATTCTGGTTTAACATGTTCACAGTCACTCCTGAGGCTGCCCGGTCCCCCTCGGCCCCCCACCCCGGCCCCCTACCCCCGCCGCGCAGCTCCCCAGGGGCCAGTCCCTGTGCACTCCTCCCCCTGAAGACTCCACTTCGTGGGCTGCCGGTGCCGGCTGGGTCCTTGCCTCTGCTGCCTTGGCCGAGGGGCTGGCGCGGCTCGGGCCCGCGCAGCCCGCAGGTTCATCAATGGCCAAGGCCGAGAGGCCTGAATGGAGGGCACGAACCGCCCCTTCTTAAAGGCGCCGGCCTCGGGCACCTTCCGCGGTCCTCCCCGCTGTCCCGGGCGGCCGAGAGCTCTCGGGGTGGGCGGGTCGAGAACGGGACCAGGAGAAAGAAGGCCTGGGCTTCTTTCTCCTGGTCCAGGAGAAATGGAGGGCGTGCCGGCCGCCGCTGGGGTCGGGAAGGTGTCCCTCCGGTGGGACACCCTTGTTCCAGGCTGGCCCTCCCCGCTGCCGCCACAGCCCGAGGAAGAGGCCGGGCGCCCTCCACCCCTGCTAGGGACCCTCCTCCAGGGGGCCGCTGCCCTCACCCTCCTCCCGCTGGGAGGGGGCGGAGGCACAGCTGCTCCGGAGGCGGCTCGGCCCCTCCCGTCACTCCCTCTCCGCCCGGGATGGGGGTCTGGAGCCGATCCCCGCAGGGGGCGCATCTCCTCCGCCCAGCTCCCTCCCACCCGCGCACACAAAGGCTACGTACACACGCGGACCGGGGCGCGTGCGGCCGCGCTCCTGGGGCAGCGGCGCTCACACACATACACGCGCGCCCTCAGGGACCCCTGGGCTTCGGGGTGACGCACGGGGGGCGAGGGACCTGGGGACGCGCAGGCCGTACCTACAGGCGCGCAGCTGCGGCCGGGCGGGCCGGGGCGCCGGCGGAGCGCTGCCCGGACGGCGGTCGGGCTCCCGGGGCCCCGCGGCTCATGGCCCGCAGCGGGCGTGTGCTCCCTCCGGGCGGCGACCGGCGCCGGCGGTGGCTCCTCTCTCACCCGTCCACCGCCTCCGCGGCTCGTGCGCTCCTCTCGGGCCGGCGCGGCCTCGGCTCGGATCTCCCGGCGGCCAAGCCCCGCGCACTCGGAGCCCAGCTCCGCGCCGCGCGCCCCGCCCGCTCCCTCTCGGGCCCCCCGCCCACTCCCCGGCCCCGCCTCCTATCCCGGCCCCGCCCCCTCCCCTCCCCCGGCCCCGCCCCCGGCCCCGGCCCCGCCCCCTCCCCCGGCCCCTGGCGGAGCCGGAGCGGTGCGGTGGTCGGTGCGCACGGACTTCAGGCAGCAGCAGGGCGGAGGGGTTAGGAAAGGGGCGAGAGTCCGCGACCGCCGTGTTTCACGGAGCCGCCCCAGGCCAGGCGTCGGGACCTCCCCGGCGTGGAGGTGTCCCCCGGAGCCTGGAGTGGGGGCCCCGGGAGCGTGGCCGGTGGGGGCCGGTGGGTGGCCTGCCTGGGGGGGGGGGCCTCTGGGACGTGGACGCCCTTTGGTGACAGTCTACCGGCAGAGGTTGCTATTGCCCTAACCTCAGCCTTCAGGACAATGGGAGCCTCGAGGAGGCCAGATGTCGCCACCGGGGAAGTGGACGTCTACTTCTCATAAATCCGGAGGGCGACGCCACGCCCCTCCCTCCAGCCCTCCGGCTGCCGGAAATCGCCGGAGGCTGGGGCCGGGGAGCCGCGAGCCGGTCCTCACCTCTCCGGGTCCCCGCCCCACCCCGCCGTGCCTCGTCGTCCGGGGCTGATAGGGCTGACAGCTCCCGAACCAGGGCTTAGGCTAGGGCAGAGGCCATCCGGGCTAAGAAAACAAAGACTCCTGCTAGCCTTTGCGGGCTGACCCTTGGGGGCCTCGGGAGACCTCCCAGAAGAGGCGGAGACTCGAGCAGGGCTGGAAGGGGTCTGAGAAGAGAGGGGAGGCATCGATCCATGTAAACAGAAGTATGGAAGTGAAGCGCTGGCTCCTGGGGCGGGTGGGGGTGGGGGGGGCAGCCCCTTCTCTCCTCTTCTCCCTCCTGCCCCCAGCCTCAGCCTCCACAGGCCTATCAGCTTTCCCCTGCCCTCACTGCAGTCTACCCCTCTGTGGCCTGCCAGGGAGGGCCTCCATCTGTTGCTCTCTCCCACCCTTAGGGACCTCTGACTCCGGTAGTGGGCCCTTAACCTTTCCCAAAGCCATTTCACACCTAATTTCCCAGGAAACAGGACAGGCAGGGAAGGGTTCTTCTTTTTTAAATCTCAGTCTTGTGGATGGAAAGCAGGGGGCCTAGAGAGGAACAGTGGGTTGGTGGAGACTAGCCTGGAACCCTGCCTGGACCGCCTGCCCATCAGCCCCGGGCTGCCCTCCACATGGGCTCTGAAGCAAGGCAGGTCTTGTCTGAGGCCCTGGGACCTAGTCCCTTCCCTTCCACACACATACCAGCTGCTCTCTCTGCAGGATACGGACAGAAAATATTTAATGGAAGCTTGTGCGTGGGCCAGCCGTGCACTGTAGCTGCATACTGGCCCGGAGGCCTGGCTGGGAACCCGGAGGCCTAGGAATGAGGCTGGGAGGGGGTGGGAATGGGAAAGGTGGGAGGATGACTGTCTGTCAAAGGGTAAGTGGGTGATGGGGCTGTGGACGCCCCCCCCCCCCCCCCCCTGGGACATGGGAGAACCTGGCTCCCAGTGGACTAACCTGGTTCTGAGTAGTGGGCTGAGATCCACTGATGGGCTGTCCTTGGCCAGAGAGGGTCCTGGGTATGGAACCCTGGACAGGACAATAAATCCGATCCCAGGGAGGAGGAAGTGAGGAGGAGCCAGCCTTTTAGTGGCTCTGACGTACAAGGAGGAACTAGTGGGGAATGTGGAAGTGGCTGGGGAAGGAGGAGGGGAGGAGGGGAGAGGCTGACTGGTTGAGAGCATCTTTGTCCTGGGATAGGGATCGGGGTTAGGCAGGATAGGTCTATCTGGGGTCCCTGAGGGCAGGAGGCTGTGGGGTCTTGGAGGAAGTTGTGATGGGGCAGATGATGAGGGGTTTGGGGTAGGATCCCAAAGTGGGGGCCCTGGATGGACAAGTTCTAGTGTTCAGGACAGACAGGGAGAGCGCCGGGGACTCTGCCCACGGGGGCTGCAGAGCTGGGGATGGAGCCAGCATTTCAGGCCACCTGGCCAGGGAGTGAATGCCAATCACCACAGACTAAGAGGAAGCTCCTCGGGTGGGTGGGTGGGGTGGGGCTGGGGGCCTGGCATCCCAGAACCTGTGGCTCAGAGGTGTCCCTATGCAAGGCTGGCACTCGGGGGCTTGGTGGGCATGGGCTCCACAATTGCATGGCAAGCAGGACCCAGGGAAAGGGACAGGGAGAGACATGAAGTGACAGGAGAGCAGGACTCTGGGACACACAGAGGAAGCAGCGGTTCCCCAGGAGCTGATGTCACATATCCAACTCACGTCACACATTCAACCACAGTCTGACTTTTTGTTTTTTGTTAATCCTCACCAGAAGATATTTTTCTATTGTTTTTTTTTTCAGAGAGAGTGGAAGGACGGTAAGGAAGGAGCAAGGGGGAGAAAGAGGAGAGAGAGAGAGAGAGAGAGAGAGAGAGAGAGAGAGAGAGAGAGAGAGAGAGAGGAAGAGAGAGAGAGAGGAAGAGAGAGGAAGAGAGAGAGAGAGAGAGAGAGAGAGAGAGAGAGGAAGAGAGAGAGAGAGGAAGAGAGAGAGAGGAAGAGAGAGAGAGAGAGAGAGAGAGAGAGAGAGAGAGAAAGAGAGATATCAATTGATTGCCTCCTGCATGCACTCTGACAGGGGCTAGGGATTGGGGGTTGAACCTGCAACCCAGTTACATGCCCTTGACCGGGAATGAAACTCTTCAGTGTGGGAGCTGACATTCTAATTGCTGGACCACACCCACCACCAATGAGCTGTGTTTTTTTGTTTGTTTGTTTTTTTTTTGGTTGTTTTTTTGTTTTTTTAACGAATGGATTTCTCTTTTTGATTGGATTACTGGTCTGCTCAAGAGAACTCAGACACTATGGGTCTGGGTTTCAGCAAAGCTCTGAACCCAACCATGGAATTCCTGGACAGAAAAAGGGGGAGAGACCTTCTGTGTGTCAGGGGCAGTGCCAGACTCTCCTATCCCCAGGCACAGGGCACGGGTACCAGTGTGGCTGCAACCATATGTTTATTCGAAGCTGAACACGCAAGTGCAAATTTAATGCAGGAGGAGCTGTCAGTGGCCCGAGGTGGCCATGCTAGGGTGTCTGCTTGGCCAAGAAGCCCCTGGGCCCCTCAGACCAGCCCTTGGGCCTGAAGAGCCCCTGGCATGGGGTGTGCTCACTGCAGACTCCTCACCTAGAAGCCAGAACACCTTGCTAAATAATAAAGCAAAAATCACGGTGGGTCTGGGATGGGGTAGAGTGACAAAGGTAGGCGGGGGTGGGGGGGTAGGGGGTGGGGGGGAAGGATGGACTCAAAGACTCCTGGTCTGTGAGGAAGGGTCCCCTACATCTTAGGAGGTGGTGATGGGTCCCAGGGGATCCCAAGTGGTTTAGCCACGGCCAGAAACAGTGGAACACGGTGTCACAGCATCCCTGCTACCAGGGCTAGAGGTCAGGCTGTGGGCAGGGCCCAGGTCAGATCACCAGCCCGAGATGGGCTGAGAGACCACGTGGCTCAGCCTGGCTGGGCCGTGGGACTCTCTGGACCTAGGAGGCCTGAAGGGGCTGAGACATCCTCTGAAGGGAGCCCAAGGGGACTTAGGGGAGGGCAGGGGCAGTTTCCATGGGGGGATTTCTAGGGGAGCCTAAGTGATCAGAAGCAGCTGAATAAGCAGGGTGGGGAGTGCAGTCATCGCTGTTGTGAGCGGGGCGGCTCCGAGACATCACTGCCACAAGTCCCCAGCCGCGGCCCCGTTGTCATTCTCGTGGAACTTGTGCAGGTGGTCAGCAAACCTGTGGGACACAGAAACCTTTGCTGTGGCCGCGTGCAAAAAGGAGTGAAGTGTGTGCGTGCGGTGGGGGAGGGAGAAATGGAGGCATAGAAATCTCCAGGGTCGAGCACCACGTGATGGGGTGGGGGCTGAGGGCAGCAGACATGTTGGGGGGCTGTGAGGTGAACCAGAGTGGGGCAATGGTGGAAGGCTGGGGGGACAGGGAACAGAGGAGGAGCTCAGTGGTGCTGCGGGGCTCAGTGTGGAGCCATGGCCGGGGAGGTGAGCGGGAGGGGGGGTGGGGCCCTCAGGGCGTCCTCACTTCTTGGCGCAGAAGGTGGTACAGTCCCGCTCCATGCTCTCGCTCCACGCCAGCTTGTAGAGAACCTGGCCAGGCAGAGGCACCGTGAGCCGCCCGTCCTGCCGCACAGGCACGCCTGGCTCCCCGCCAGCCCTGGGCGTGCTCAGCGCCCAGACCCCAGGCTGGTGGGCCTTAGAGATGCTCCTGTGCCCACCTGTTTCCAAGGTGGCCAGACAGGCCTGGACATGGAAGCATCACCCTAACATGCTGGGTATACCACCGGCAAGGCTAGGACCTGCCGGGCCCTGGGTCAGAGCGGACTTTGGATAGGGGCCATTTGGACTGTGGCCTCAATGGGGGTGGGGTCCGAGGCCGGGCCCTCCAATAGGCACACCCCACACTCCTCTCCCCGACTCAGTGGACATGCAGGCGGCATGAGGCCTGTGTGCTGTGCACTAACAGGATGTCCCTCCGGGGTGCAGCCACCTGGCTGACCCTTAGGAGGGTCGGTAAGACCCTCTTTCCTGCCTTCCCCAGACTCCTCAGCAGCCCTCCCTTCACCAAGCCCGCCAGGACCAGACAGAGCCGCCAGGCCGCCCCAGAGGGCCCGTGGGTGGGCTTGTCATCCCCGGCCGGGCTGAAGCCCTCCAAGGGGAGAGAAGTGGCCACGAGCAGATGGTGGGGCTCGGGGGCAGCCTGGGTCCTTCTGCCCTGGAGGTGACGGGAGCTTGATGAACGCAGCCCTGACCACCACCGAGGCACCCACCAGGAAGACCAGGCAATGCAGGA